AAAAAAAAAAAAAAAAAAAAAAAAAAAAAAAAAAAAAAAAAAAAAAAAAAAAAAAAAAAAAAAAAAAAAAAAAAAAAAAAAAAAAAAAAAAAAAACATTTGACATCAATATGTTAGTTCATCAGTATGGAACCCGGAAAATAAACGACTGTTGATCACAAAAGGAAAAGACGCGCACGTGAATACGGTGCTCTCATCAACATAAACGTAGTATTTCCCACCCATTCTCTACACAGTTCCAACGTAAAGTAATCAAGCTTGTTCCTTATCTATTTGCCTTAGAATGGCTTGATCTGGTCAAACAGACTCAGGACGGGCAACCAGCCACTGTGGAAGTACCTTTTACTAATAACAACCGAAATACCATATAAGGAACGTCGTATCTGGCAAACAGGTCACTTCTTAAGCCAAACTTATAATGTCCTCCCTCAAACTGCAAAACATCGGATACCCAACCTCCCTAAATGTAAGGTCACCAAAATTCTGATATCGCTCTCTTTTTCTACATCATCGATTTTGTTCGACCGTACCCAACAACGAGGTCCTGATGAGTCAGTCAGTTTGCGCATCTGCTTCACCCATGATCAAATTCTCTCTCTCTGATGGGAAACAGGGAACTTCGAATATCGTGAAAAAAGAAAAGCATTTCTTAAGGTTAAGAATGAGCATCTTTGCTTGTTTTGCATTATTATAAGAATATAAAGAAGATTTAGAAAGCAAAACAGTTCATAAAACTAAGTTAATGCACGCAAGACTGGTAATGTAGAGACTTTGGAGGGGGGAGGGGAGGAATTATCAGAAACCTGTGAGCCTCGTATAGTTTATCGCCATGTCCTTCATCAATGTAGTTCATAGCAAGCAGTCGGTTCTGCAGGAACAAAAAAATTGAACGAGAAATCATTGTTTAAGGAAGAAAGTAAAAATTTAGAAATATGACGACAATTTTATTGAAGGACTTTTGCAATAATTGAAAATAAAGATGCCCGATTGGCACTACAAAATCAATAAAGAATTACCTGGCCAGCATTCCGGGAGTCGGGGTCTATTTTAAGGCAGCGCTCATAAGCATCAACTGCCATGGAAATATTCCCAGCATCCCTATGCAAAACTCCTGCACCCCAACTAAGCAAATGGTCAATTTTCTATTATAAATCTTTTTTAGAATTGTACATTCAAAAGAAAAGGTTCAGAAGGGACCTAAGTTATTGTAAGCTTCTGCATAAGTTGGATTTGCAAGAATAGCTTTCTCAATCATGCTTGCGGCAGCGTCCATTTTCCCCTGGTAATAATTGCAATTTTATGAATTTAGCATCCCAAGTAAAAGTTCACTTAAAATTCTACTATCAATCATGAGTTAGTACAAGCACCTGAACCGTGTAGACAACACCGAGATTGTTCAAGGACTGAGAAAAGTTGGGTTTTATCGATAAGGCAAGCTAAAAGATAGAAACACAAAAATGAAAGGAAATTCACAATGTCAACATCATAAAAAGTCATATAGGAGAAGGAAGAAATCAAATGGATGGCTAGGGAAAGAAGAAAGACTACTTGATAACATTCTACAGCTTTGTCCAGGTTGTCCTGATCCTTATATATAACCCCTAGATTATTACATGCCTCCGCGCAATGAGGATTGAAATGGAAAGCTAGCTCATAAAAAACAATAGCCTGCAGAGCCAAAGAGATTACAAAGATTACAAGCATTTTAACACAAATAGTTAGAACAGGTAGGTGAGTGGAAGGGAGAGAGAATCGTTGGACCGAGCAATCTGCATTCAAAAGAAACACTTAGGGGGGGAAGGGGTGAAGAAAGGAAGTTATCCGCAATAAAAACGAACCATGTCAAATTTAAGCATTTCACCATATGCAACCCCCAGATTGTACATAGCATCAGCATAGTGCCAATTGTAATACAGAGCTCTCTTATAATATGCTACACCCTGGGCTATATTACCCTCCAGTTTAACCTGAAAACAGAATATAATTCATGATCACAAACCGTCGACAAAATCTCAGAGGAAATATAATAGTTTAGAGAAAGAAAAAATAACGACATGTCTATTCTAGAGACTACTGTTCTAAATTTCCTTATTGGTACATGCAAATTTAAAGTTAGATGATAATATTGGCAGGAATTAATAAAAGTGGAACAACTTGAGCCCATTCAAGTTCGTCTACTTCATCGTTGGACCCTATGCTAATAACTTCAGGTTCTTCTTCTTTTTTCTCCTTTTGCTTAAACAAATTTCATTAATGGCTAAGATTTACAAAAGAAGGAGAGAGTCCCAAGTCAGGGGAGTTACAATAAATTTCTCCATGTCCAATGTAGAGTAGCTAAGAAACTGAAAGGACCAGAATATTTACACAATGATAAATCTAGGAAGACAACATATCTAGAAAATTATCAAAAAAGGTTCCTTGTCATTGAAATCCCTTTGGTTGGATTCAATCCATGAAGCTCAAAAAAAAATCCCAAACAAGATGCATCCATAGAACTTTTTGCTTGTCAGAGAAAGGGTGCTCGGCTAGGATGTAGAGGAAGCGGATTTTGGATCCCGTGGAAGGACCATCAACCAATTAAAAGAGAAGTGTAATAGCCCAAGCCCACCGCTAGCAACTATTGTCCTCTTTGGCCTTTCCCTTCTGAACTTCCCCTCAAGGTTTTAAAACGCGTCTACTAGGGAGAGGTTTCCACACCCTTATAAGGAATGCTTTGTTCTCCTCTCCAACTAATGTGGGATTTCACAAGAAGACTTCCAGAACCTATTGGCAAAGAAGCAAAGAGAGGAAGATGTGTTCCTGTGTTTCAGCATCCTTGTTGCAAGTGCAGCAGTGTGGGAACAAAGAAAAATAAGGCACTCAAAGCTGAAATTTATCAGTGTTAATAGCTCTGTGCTGAATTCCAAAACGTACGATCTTTTTGTGGGTATTGATCCTTCTGAATTGAGCCATATAAAAGAGGTTATGGGTCTCACAGCATGCTACAAATATCATTTAAAAGGGATTTTGTAGTGAAGGATCATCTGCTAGCCTGATTCCATAGCGAAGATCCCTTGAGTGAGATAAGTGAATGGCTGATAATAGGTGGGAGAAACCAACACATTCCTCAATTTCCACTTCATTCAAGTTCCTCCTTGGTCTAATGCTCCAATTTTCAAATTCTGCAGTCCATGTTCTTATACAGAGATACTTTTTTCCAAGGAGATGTAGTTAATATGGGAACCCGTAATGCAAAAGGTACATCCAACAGACAAAGGTTGAGCTATAAGGAGTTGGTTCGTGGGAGATATGTGAATGTTTCCTTGAATGAAACCTCCTTTCAACAGTGTGAAAAGTTTAGAGTTTTAGTTAAATTTTAGATTCTATCCAGCCAATAACAATTGAACATATAAGACAGACATGGAGAATGAAATTAAAGTCCAGTACAAAACTAGCAAACAAAGCAATTTCTAAAATATTCAATATAATTTCTAAAAGTTGAAAGGGTCAGCAACCTTTGTTCCTAAATCTGTCAAGGCAATTGCCATATTATTCTTTGCAATCTCGAAATTTGGTGAAACAGCTAGACACCTGGCACGAACGAGAAACCAATCAGATGGATATACACTTAGCATCAATAAGCACAAATACCTGAGATCTGAGAAAAGAATAACAAAGAAACAACAGAGGCAAATCAATGGCAGCATCACAAAACTGAATGGGTAAGACTACCTCTCATAACAAGCAATAGCTGACTCTAGGTCCCCACGGTTTTTATATATTACGCCCATGTTGCAATATGCTTCAGCGTACATGGGTCTCTCAACTGCAGCCTTCTCATAGCAATTAAGGGCTGTATCATATTGCATCATCTCAGAATAGACAACACCGAGATTATAATATACCGGCTGCAGTTGCATAGGAGGTAAAAGTATAAGAACGTAGTTTAATGAAGGGTAGATGCTCGGAAGTAAGAATATGATGAGTTCAAAGATTACAGCGTAGTGCGGATCTATTTTGAGGGCTTCATAATACTTCTGGATTCCATCCTGACTGTTGCCAGCAAGCTTCAAGCTGGTCCCTAGGTCAGTCAAAACAACTGCTAGACATTCAGCAGCTGGTCGGTAAGAAGGGTCTACTCTCAAAGCCTTTTGATATGACTGTTCAAATTGACCAAGTATTGGCAACAAAATTAACGTATAGATTTGCAAAAGAAAAAACATATTTAACATAGGATATAAGCAAACAGTTGGGATAACGTACGAAATATAGAGACCTGCAACAGATAAAACAAGGACTTTTAGTTAGAGAAGATTAGGCGAGCATGCAAAAGGCTTCCCAGTTTGATTACAATTTCCAAACCAAAATTCGCCCTCGAACCTACTTCTAACAAATTCACCCTCGTGCCCATTTGATAAGAGTAGGTTCGGTATAACTAACTTGGTCGATAAATTAGGCATCCTTGTGGCTTTAGAAATTTCCTCAAGAGAATTCTAGTGGATTTATTGGATTATGTGTAAAAGGTCCACAAGATTTGATCCAACATTTGAGATTCTTCTAGGCTTTCTTGTTTTAAATATATCTCCTTCTCATCTCTATCACTAGAAGAAAACCATGAGCTCGAAAGTCCTCTTACGCTTGCCCATTTGTTCTAAAATCTACTGATAGGTTCGAGGGGCAAAAGATGAAAAATGAAACCAAATTACAATTCCAAGGAAGAGCGAAGCAATTAATATGAGAATATTACTGTCACAACATAAGGCGCCAATTTACGATAGAAATAGAGTGTCCAAAAGCCAATCCTTTGTACATGAAGTGCACACAAGTTCTGGTTATAAACGAAGCCCCCTCAGTATCCATCGTAGCTCGAGAAAAGCAATGCTATAACAAGCTAATATTGATTACCATCTCCTCAGAATTTTCAAATCTCTACAGTGGTTTTCAGGCTAACCCACATTCGACTCAAATTTCTCCTCAACGTCATCTCGATCACAAAATCAATAACACACATACAAAAGGACTGCCATTTTTAAGCAGCACAGATAGGATTTGAAGACAGTTATAAAAGACACAGAGGAGTCAAAGGAACTAAACAAACTAAAAGTTGCAACCAATCCAAGTACTATAAAGCCCCATATAACATGGTCAATGAAAAAGGTATTTACATGCAAGTCGCGTTTGTTAATCTCTAAAATAACACACCAAGATTTCATTCAGGCTCCATATCTGTCTCTGACACTATCAATTTCTACAAATAGAATTGTCACCGTATGCACGTAAGAACGTGGTAATTTTCTGAATATATATGTGGGAAATCAGGTGCCACAGCCATTTGTTTCAAATGAACTACATTCTATATCTCTTAAGGATGTCAAGTTTCATATCATACCTCAGCAGCCTCCACAAGACGACCTTCCTCCTTGGATATAATACCACAATGCGTGAAGGCGCAAGTATTCTGTGGGTCCAACCTGATGGCTTCTGCAAAACTTTCAAATGCAGGCCCGAGCATGTTCTGCATCTGTAGGCATATTCCTTTCCCAATATGAGCGTCCACATTTTCACTATCTTTCTCTAATTCTTTCTCGTAAAGAACAAGAGCATCTGCAAACTTGTTTCTTGATCGAAGAATGTTGGCAAATAAGAGACCATTCTTGCCTTCAACCTTCTTCTCTGCAGAATCCGTGCTGGCCGGAGACGAACTCCTTCTGGAAGAAGACTCTGATCCTTCTAAGAAACCATTTTCTTTCACAGGGACTATCTCCCTTTCACTGCTATCGTCTTTATCTATCCACTCCATTTATGCCGAACCGCACCCTCAGATTAGAGTATCAACAATCCATCATTGATACCTCCAATATGGCTTTAAGGTAGAACCCACGGCACCAAATCAGAAGCTTCTTCAGCCTAACCTATCAAGTAAAAAGCCCTTCAAACGCTACTATTCGATTCAAACATGAAAAGAAAAGGGCAACAAAAATCACTACACCTTAGTCTAAAACCCCCAAACCCTTAAAACCCAGAAACCCCAATAAATAAACAAACGAACAGTAAAGCAGCGTATAAAAATGAACCCCAAAAAAGGGGTCGACCAATAAATAACCAATAACAACGTGTCGAGAGAGAGTTCACGCTTACACGAAATGTTCAATCCTCCCCACCGAGTAAACAAAGAACAATGACTGACAGACCAATCCACTGGTGGCCTTAGCAGCTCAAAAGCCCCCTCGGGCCCAACGGAGGAAGTGGGTACAGAGAAGGAAAGGCCAACGCCAACGCCAACGCCGGTCACCAGTCACCGGAAGAGAGATAGAAAGAGAGAGCTAGTTAGTAATGGAAATGGCGAAGGAGACAGCCGAGAGAAGTAGCGAAGTCTCTGCTCTGCTGCTCTGCTGCTCTCTCCGTAAAGGCGTATGATGACAATTCGATATGCTCCAAAAACCCCAAAATCCGTCGGTGAATTGAAAACTTTGAAGCTTCAGCTGCTTAGGGAAAATTAAGAAATTGGTTATGGGTTTGGCTTTGGGTTTGGGCGAAAATTTTGCTATTCACGCCCCTTCCCACTTGCTTTATCAGTGTTTGTAATCATGTTCATGTTTTTTTTTTTTTAAGCTCCGTTTTTGAAAGTAGGGTTTGTTCGATTTTGTGTTTTGCATAATTTTTTTTCAATCTATGAAATCATATGTTTATTTTTTGATAAATTTAAGGTTAAATATCATGTTGTATCCTTTTCTTATGCTTGTTTTTTTATTGTTAATGTGGTTTGGTCAAAATTAGAGTAAGGCGTATGGTCTTTTCTATTTTCTTTTTTCCTTAATTAAATTTTGTTTTTTTTTTCCATATAATTCAATAACCCAACTCAAATCATAATGATTTCGTGTGTGTTGTGTATTTTGTGTCAACCCAACTAGTTCGGGAAACAGAGTCACAATTCAACCCAACCGGTTTGTAACAGTTGTAATTGGTGCGTTATAACTTGTGATTTTATGATATTTAAATTATTAATAAAATATATACCGTGGATAAGTATGGTTTTTTAAAACAATACTTACAAAAATACACTTGAGTTGGGCTGAACTTTATTATGTTGCTCCAGTCACCAACCCAATCAACTAAAAATTTTAGATTGGTCTAAAATATTTTTTTCAACCATCTTTTGTACCTATATTATTAAGGTTTTATTTAAGCTTTTAATTTTAATTTTAAATTTATTGTTAATAAAATCTTATATTTCATTTAAAAATGGTGATTTTTTTGAAATGTTATAAAATTTTAAGAATTTAAATATATATGTTTTTCCGTCACCAACTTAATTAACCAAAATTTTTAAATTGGTCCAAATAATTTAATCTTTTAGCATATAAAATTTAATCAAAATTAAATATTAATTTTTATTATGAAATTAGTTAGTTTATTAATTTGGAAGTCTGACCATATTAAATATTAAAAAAAAAAATTTTTTTTTTACCAATAATATCTAAATTTAGGGATTAAGGTTTAAAATTTTAAATTAAAAAAAACGTAGGCATATAAAATAAACGATAAAAGTCCCTCTTTGGCCAGAAGCTTAAATCTTGCCTTGTTCGTCGCGATCGGGGGCGAGAATCTTCACGGATCACTGCCGCAGGAACTTCTAGCTTGTTATTAATGACGATGACGTTGGAAGGTACAGTTTCCGAGTTAGACATCGCTGCTCAATAATAATATGTGTTTCTGCGATAATAAGCATGTTACTGAACTGAATTTCGGTGATCTAATGTTCTAGTTGATTTGGGTTTGGGTGATTTAGAATTTGAGATTGTCTGGGTAAACATGTGGCTTAGCTTAGTTTTATACCTGCTTTTCGAGGATGGATTTTCGTTCACTGACATTTTATTTGTTCGAAATAGGGGGTTTTAGGGAAGAGAAGTTTCATTTTATTGTGAATTTGTTGAGGGTTTTATGTTTTATCTCTTATTTCCATGTAAAATGCATCGTTTTTGCTAGAATTTTGAATGAAGGTGGCTTGGGGAAAATTGTGCCTAATAGGAAATGCTAGTTTCTGCTGAATTTTCATTGATCCCTTATCTCTGTTTAATGTTCATTGATGTTCTTAAGTTTTACTGAGATGGGTCGAGAAGTGGCATGTGTAAATGACAAAAAAAAAAAAAATTAGCATGTCCTAGTTTTGATTTTTAACGACCAAAGTTCACCGCTAGCAGATATTGTCCACTTTCCCTTAAAAATTTTATAAAATGCCCTAGGGAGAGGTTTCCACACTCGTATAAAATGTCCTCCACACCTGTATAAAATGCGCTGAGGAGAGGTTTCCACACCCGTATAAAATGCGCTGAGGAGAGGTTTCCACACCCGTATAAAATGCGCTAGGGAGAGGTTTCCACACCCGTATAAAATGCGCTAGGGAGAGGTTTCCACACCCGTATAAAATGCGCTAGGGAGAGGTTTCCACACCCGTATAAAGGGTGTTTCGTTCTCCCCAACCGATGTGGGATCTCACAATCCACCCCCTCGAGACCCAGCGTCCTCGCTGACACTCATTCCCTTCTCTAATCAGTTTCCACACTCATATAAAGGGTGTTTAGTTCTCCTCCCCAACCGATGTGAGATCTCACAATCCACCCCTTCGGGACCCAGCGTCCTCGCTGGCACTCGTTCCCTTCTCTAATCGGTTTCCACAACCGTATAAAGGGTGTTGTGCGCCGAAAGCGGAACAAATGTACTCACAACACCAATGAACGGAATTACACAAAGAGACACCAAGATATCTACATGGTTCGGAGAGAAGAAGTTCCCCTACATCCACGGGTAGGAACCAATCACTAATAAACCAAGTGTTACAAGTGAATAGCTCACCCTCACACCACAAACTAACTCTCAGACTCCAAAGACTCTCACCAATATGTCACTCAAGAAATACAATGTGACACTCAAAACTCTCCCAAATCCCGATATCAAATTTCGATATCAAATCTCGATATATAACTAAACCTGGTATGACTAAATCTAATTCAAATAACCAAATCAAATAAACAACTTATGACAATTTACAACAAAGGGTGTTTCATTCTCCTCCCCAACTGACGTGGGATCTCACAATCCACTCCCTCGGGACCCAGCGTCCTCGCTGGCACTCGTTCCCTTCTTCAATCAATGTGGGACCCCAATTCACCCCCTTCGGGGCCCAGCATCCTGGCTGGCACACCATCTCGTGTCCACCCTCTTCGGGACTCAGTCTTCTTGATTGGCACATCATATGGTGTCTGGCTCTAATACCATTTGTGACAGCCCAAGCCCACCGCTAGCAAATATTGTTCTTTTTGGACTTTCCCTTACAGGTTTCCCCCCAAGGTTTTCAAAACGCGTCTGCTAGGGAAAGGTTTCCACACCCTTATAAACAGTGTTTCGTTCTCCTTTTCAACCGATGTGGGATCTCACAATATCTGCTAGCAGTAGGCTAGCAGGCTTGGACAGTTACATGTTTACTCTGTCCTCACATAATTTATATGAAGACATAATTTATTCTTCCTATCAGACATAATTTATATGAAGACATAATTTATTCTTCCTATAATAGTTATAGGGTCTATGGGGCAAGAAAATGCAAAACCCTTGATACAGGATTCAAAATTATCCCACGATCCTAAACTGATTTTCACTTGGGATTGCAAAACCTAAGCCTGTCTATGAAGGAAAAAACTCCATGGCTAATAACCCATGAATTAGATCAAAAATCATTCTCAGCCAGTCGATATGAAGTGACCCTTTTCTCTAGCTTCAAGATATTAGTGTATTCGTCAATTCTTTTGATCATGGTTGCTGCTCATTATCATGTACCACTACTGTTGGAGTCTCATTCAAACCAATGGTCCATTTGTTGCTCATTTTGACATTCTGTATCTTAATTTAATGTTAACTAATGTTCTTGATCTTCCTTGGGTGGTGCCTCGTGGTGTTCGGGGAACATGGATGGATCTCATCATATCTGCAGTGTAAGTCAAATTTATCACTACTTAGTTCTTAATTCTGATGCCTAACTTTATGAAAAAATGTAAATGACCCCCCCACCTCTCGGTTGTGCAGGTTAGCTGGGCTTGCGTTTATGTTTTCATCAAGCATCCTGCTACAGATCTTGGTATGCTTCGTACATTCATATATCTTACTGATATTTTAGTACTTGTTCTGCTGCGTCGCTGTAAAATAAATTGGTTTGGATAGTATTGATTTGAATCCTAAAGTTTATAGCTCTTCCGACAGAATTTAGCACAAATTAATGATTTAGATTTTATCCACATGTTTTTTTTTAAAAAAATTTATAATTAGCTTATGAAGCGTATATAGAGTAACTGTATCCTTGCGACGAAGCTTTTAATCACTGTAAAGTAGAAGAAAGAGAAGATGTGGTTAAGTATTATTGTAATCTAAAGATATCTCAAGTTTAGCATTTAATATATGTTTTATGACATTGTTCCTGGTCTTTTGAAAGAGCTTAGGTTGGAGAACATATATTTCCTTATCTACCTATTAATTATCTTTGTGTGTTTACGGTTGGACTCGAGGAGTAAGAACATGGATAGCTACTCGATGACGAGTGATGACATTGTTTTTTGATATCCTACTTAGCCATCTGACATGTTGGTTTGATGTCAAAAGTTGATGCAGGATATGGGACAAACAAAGTAGATCGAATTTGTCTGTAGGATAGCAACCTGTAGGATTAAGTTGTAAGAGGCTGCAGATAAGGATTGTAAGAATCACCTTAGAGATTTCTAGCATCACACTTAAGGTTATTGTTGTGTCGCACAATTCAAAGAACTTGTCATTCAACAATTCAAAATAGAATTGTATAACTACTTGTGTACTTATTTGTGTTTGCAAGGGAGAGATTTTCACACCTTTATAAGGAATGTCTTGTTTCCCTCTCCAACTGATGTGGGATCTCACAATCCACCCCCCTTGGGAGTCCAGCGTCCTCGTTGGCACATCATTCGGTATCTAGCTCTAATATCATTTGTAATAGCTCAAGCCTACCACTAGGAGATATTATCCGCTTTGGCCCATTAAGTATCTCTATCAGTCTCACAGTTTTAAAACGCATCTGTTAGGGAGAGATTCCCACACCCTTATAAGGAATGCTTTGTTCCTCGCTAGCACACCGCCTGGTATCTGACTCTAATATCATTTGTAACGGCTCAAGCCCACCACTAATATATATTATCCGCTTTGGTCCATTAAGTATCGCCGTCAGTCTTACGGTTTTAAAACGTGTCTGCTAAGGAGAGATTTTCACACCCTTATAAGGAATGCTTCGTTTCCCTCTCCAACCGACGTGGGGTCTCACACTTCTAATCATTAATTTTCTTTTAAAAAATGTAAGGGATTAATTCTCTGTAAAATTTAAAAGCATTAATCTTAGATACTAAAAGATCCATTAAAACTGGAGAAACATCAAATACTTATCTTAGAAGCCAATGACCATATTAAAGGATCAGTAAATAAACAACAAACGCACTCTAGCAGGCAATAGGCACTAATCAAAGACTCTTTTTTTGAGAGGATCCCTGTGAAAAGCTTCCATGTTTTATAAACTAGACAAGTTGTGAACCATTTATTATTTATTGTTCATCTGTTTTTGTTATCATCATGGCAGGCTTGTGCCCTATATAACAATTGGTGGCCTCTGTTATCAGGTGAGCATTAAGCTTGTTGTTTCCTTTTAGATAGCTTTTAATGGCTACTAATCATGTTTGCTCTGCAGCTTTGATGTATGTGCTTGTTCCAATGCCTTGTTTATTTTTCGGAGGTGGGTCGACGCAGTTTTTGACTAGTCGAGATGGCGGAGGGTGAGTATCTCTTAAGCATTCATCCATGTTATCCAGATATGTTTATGTCATGCTTTGTTCTAGAAATATGATGTCCTTGTTTTCATTGTCTAACTTATACCCTTCATTCCAACACGTGTATCTGTGTCGTTGCGACTTCAAGATGGATCGGTGCTGCTAAATTCTTGACGGGAGCATCAACCGTGGGGAGTTTGGCAATTCCTATTATCCTCAGGCATGCTCATATGATCGACACAGGAGCCATGTTCATAGAATTCGTTTCGTTCTTCATTTTCGTTTGCACCGTGTTGTGCTTCCACCGTGTTAGCCTTGAAGATGATTGGTGATCCATTAGTGAAGCAGATCAGTGCTACAATGAATGTAAAAACTTCCTCCGTTGAATTTTAATGCGTGGTCTTCTTAACAGTTGATTCAAGACGTTGTATAACAAGATGAAACTTAGCACTGGAAAAGGGAGATCGAGCTCGAAATATCTTAGTTGTAAATCAATCTAATGTATGATAATAGAAGTGCCCGTTTTCTTCATTTTCTTTTCGCTTACATTGAAATGCTCGAATTGCTGAAATAATTGTCGTTGAATGTGCTTTTATACAAATAAGTTAACACTTTTTGTTTATAGGTGCGTGGTTTTCGGTTAACCTATCACATTTAGTCAAGTATCCTACAAAGAGACTCCTAAGAGGTAGAAGTATTGAAGGGACTCGGTTTTGATCTTTAGAGCTAGAAGGAACCTGCATAGTTCAATTAAGAAAAATTTGATGTATTTATTTAATATCCTAACGTAACTTTATAAATATAACACCGGTTAATCGTGTTCAATTGAGCATAGCCCTAATTGCTATCACAAAAGTCGATCAAAAGGAAAGTCAATCAAAAGGACGAGTCAAGTGAGACGACCAATAATTGAAAGAAAGAGAGTGAGTGAGGAAGCTTCCACTCATTTCATTGCCTTTTTGGTCTGTGTCTCCATCAGCAACTCACGGAGACTTCTAACACCACCAACCAAATTGACTTCACTTTTCTATTTTCTTTAATTTTTTTTCATTCCATTTCTAAAATTTCAATATATATATATATATATATATATATATATATATATATATATATATATATATATATGTGTGTGTGTGAGAGAGATTATCTCCGAGTAAAATTACTTTAATTTATATATAATAGATAAAACATTATCAATCTCCATAATTTTTCATATATAGATTAAAACATTATGATATTCTCGATAAAAAGATTAAAAATTTATATATCTATTATCGGTTAGACGGAAACTTAGCCGCCTAACTAATAAATAACCATTTATAAATAGAAAAAAAATAAGAGTGGATTAGATTAATCTCAAGAGGTTACCAAAAAAATTGCAAATCTACCTTTTTTATTTATTTATTTATTTATTTATTTTATTTTACATTTATAGCAAAATTTTCAAAATTCAAATTCGAAATTTCCTAATATTCCAATTTTACCCTTTTCAACAAATTTAGTATATTAGTCGACTTAATATACTCAATATTTTAAAGTATATTAGTCGACGCTAATAATATTATTTAAAATGCATTATGAATGGATACTAATATATTATTGATATATCAATGTTGTGTTTTAAATAAATTTTAAGTAAATACTGATAAATTATTGATACACTATGAATATATTATCATCGCCTCTATAATAATGTATTTCTAAAAAATAATTTTTAAAAAATAAATAATTATTCAAATTAAGTCACCAATAATAATTACGTGTATTAATGTTTGCTATATCTAAATAAGAAATATATCCGTTTACTTATATATATTATAAAATAAATCAGATATATTAACCGATAAAATCAGAAAAATAAATAAAAATAGGATTTTTTTTTTTTTGTTATATTTATAATTTTTTTAAAAAAATATACAGATTTACACATGTACTATAATGCATTTTTTAAAGGGTATAACTCTTTTATAAAATAAATAAAATAAAATAGAGATTAAAAAAATATTTATTCCATCTCGAATATAAATAAGTTTATATTAAAGAAATAAAAACACAAATTTAAATAAAATTAGTGCTTAATAGCTATTAAATGGTTCTTTTAATAACCTTATTACCATTTTTTTAATGGATTTTTTTTTAGAACCAATTCAGTAGCTCCCAGTCCCACATGGGCTCATAAGCATCCCTCATGGCTTCTACGTTAAGCTCATTACTGGTCTCTGCAATGGTTCGAGAGCTCTCGCCCAGCATGGTCCCCGTCAATGGAGCTTTTGAGGTTGGGTTAGGTTCATTAGCGACGCTCGGTAGCTCAGCTGTTACTGTTTGTGCCTTCGCAGCAGACTGAGCTATCTCGAGTTCACGTGGTTGGGGTCGTCGATCAAAGGACCGTAAAGTCTTGGATTTTCTGTAGATTCGACATAAACTGAACTCTTGTCTCAACTACAAAATCAAAATGAAACAAAGTTAAAAATATGTTTAGAACCCTCCAAATAAATAATATAAATATTTTTTTAGAAATATTATAAAGGTAGCAACTTTTTGTTTTAATAATATATAGAATAATGCAAATGGTACCATGCAAAACCAAGATATTAACAATAATTAGTATTGGTAACTGAAAAACCGAAACAAAATTGCTATCAAACGAAACCCTAAAATATTCATAGCAATCAGTATTGGTACCCGAAAAACGAAACAAACCCATTATCAAATGAAACCCTAAAATATTAACAGCAATCAGTATTGGTACAAAAAAAAAAAAAATGAAACAAACCCGTTATCAAACGAAACCCTAAATATTAACAGCAAGCAGTATTGTTATAAAAAAAACGAAACAAACCCGTTATCAAACGAAACCCTAAAATATTAACAGCAATCAGTATTGTTATAAAAAAAACGAAACAAACCCGTTATTAAACGAAACCCTAAAATATTACCAGCAATTAGTATTGGTACTCGAAAAACGAAACCCTGAAATATTAACAACAATCAGTATCGATACCCGAAATACGAAACAAAATCGTTATCAAACGAAACCCTAAAACATTAACAACAATTAGTATTGGTACCCGAAAAACGAAACAAAATCATTATCAAACGAAACCCTAAAATATGAACAACAATCAGTATTCGTACACGGAAAACGAAACAAAATTGTTATCAAACGGAATCCTAAAATACGATCGTACCTGAAAAACGGGGGTAGCGGAGGAAGACAAAGAAGGATGAATAGCTTTATATTCATTCATCTTCCATTCAGTTTTGGTCCCATGGGGAGCTCTTCCATTGTAGAAAACCATTGTCTTTTTAAGACCAATGGTTTTATGGGTTGAAGAGTAAACATGGCTTGGAGAACCAGTGGCCTTCCAATACCCTGTGGTTGTCAATCTCTTTGGCCTTCCTCCTCTTGCTTCACTCTCTTGCCTTGCTATGAAAAAGAACCATTGCTCTTTATCTCTCTTACACACCTCCCCAGCATACCCTACAAAAACCAAGAATTTAACACCGTCTCTTAACAGGTAATTTCTAAGTTCATAAACGTTCAAGTTCCAACTAAACGAGCTAAAAGATGAAATCTTTCAAACCCCAATACAATACAAGATAAGTTTTTAGTTCATAAACGTTCGAGCTCCAACCAGACGAGCAAAAAAAGATGAAATCTTTTAAACCCAAATACTATACAAGTTCTAAGTTCATAAACATTCAAGCTCCAACCAGACGAGCTAAAAAGATGAAATCTTTCAAACCCAGTTCATAAATGTTTGAGCTCTAACTAGACGAGCTAAAAAGACGAAATCTTTCAAACCCAAATACAATAAAAGTTCTAAGTTCATAAACATTCGAGCTCCAACTAGATGAGCTAAAAAGACGAAACCTTTCAAACCCAAATACAATACAAGTTCTAAGTTCATAAACGTTCGAGCTCCAACCAGACAAGCTAAAAAGACGAAATCTTTCAAACCCAAATACAATACAAGTTCTAAGTTCATAAGCATTCGAGCTCCAACCAGAAGTGCTAAAAGACGAAATCTTTCAAACTTCCGGGTTCGAAAGCTATTCAAGAAGCCCTAATCTATAGCTAATTGAAACAAAAATTAAGAACAAATTACTTGGAAGATCCCAAGGATTGAAATCATAGATATCCAAAATAGGAATGATTTGATCCATTTCTTGCTTCAAATCATGTCTTCCATCTTCAAGCTTGGTATTCAAATAGAAAGAAACCAGTTCTTCTTCAGTAGGGTAAAACCTAAACCCAGGAATCAAGTAATTCTCCATCTCTCTCTCTATAAAAATTTATTTTTTAAAGCTAAATAAACCATATATATATATATATCTGATATATCTAGATATCTATGGAGGTGAATGGATATGAAGATAAGGATGAGGAAGCAATAGCCCTAAAGAAACGAGGAAGAAAGGCTTTTAGTTTGGTATTTCTTTGAAGTTTCCATGCTCTTCAATGGAAATATGTTCTTGTCTTCTTTCTCCATGCAAACTAGTCCAAATAAATTATTGGAGGCGTGAGATCTAATCTGTTTTTTATTGCTACCGTCGATTTATTTTAGATTTTTTATGATTGAATTTTACTACCGTCACGACAAATTCGGTCGTTGACGCTTTTGTGTATGTCGTTTTGTGATTATTAAGAGATGTTGCGTGTAGATATAATGTAGTAATGTTTAGACGAGTCGAGTAAATGGAATTATACGTGACGACCAAAGATTCTTTTGTGCTTAGTTAAGTATCGAAGCCTATGTGGCAAGCACGGTATATGTCGTGTTCTCTATTCAAACAAATTTTATCGTTGTTATCGTGTGATGGTCGGTTGGTCATTTTATGGGAATCTTTTCAAAAAAAAAAAAAAATTATATAAACATATTTTGTCAAAATTGCAATTCCACTTTTTACTGAAAATAAAAATAATATTTATGTAATATAAGAATGAAATTATGAATATATAAACATTAAAATAAATATACATTTTTTAATTAAATTAAATTAAATTAAAGCGATGTTTAAATTCTCATATACATACTATACAAAATAAATAAATAAAATTTGGGATCATTCATGAAATAATAAGTTTTCAAAAGAAAAATAATAATAATTAAAATATAAAATAGAAACTTTTAGAATATATTCAATTGAAAAATAGAGACTTAAATTCATATATTCAAACAATATTTTGAATTTTGAATTTTGACTTCAACATTTTTTCCATTTGATCAAAGTCTCCAAGAATTCAAACATAATTCTCACACTAAATTCTTGTAATAATTTATTTGCTTATTCAAATTATAATAATATATACATAATAAATATATACATTTTCACAAAATAAAAATAATTATACATATAATCATGTCAATGAAAATATCAATAAATTTGTCATAATATTTGATAATATATATATATTATGTTTCGTTAAAGTTTTTTTAAATAATTTGATTTATCTTTTATCTCGGTGTGTTGAAGTTATGAACGTATGAAAATGTCGGGATGCTAACAATTTTTTTATCTTTATAAAA